GCAACGGGATCGCAACCCTCAGTGTTGCACCCGCACCGCGCTTAGCCAGTGAGTGGGAACCAGTCTCCACATGGGATCCGAACCTTCGGTGGGAGTGCCGCCGCAATCCCAAGCGGTGCACTCTCCAGTGTACCACCAGGCCGGCCCAGTGACTAACTTTTTAAATAAACCTCTCTGGACACAGCAGGTGTACCCTCGCCATTCCCTCCCTCAGATGGACCTCAGGGTTTTGAGGAAGGCACATCTGAGTCAGGCAACATGAGTGGTTCTAAGCCTGGCTGCAAAGAGGAACCACTAGAATCCCCTGTAACCTCCACTTGGGCCCTACCCTAGACAAATTAAATCAGAATCTCTGGTGCAAAAGGTGGATGTGCATGAATCAGATTTCAAGATTAGGATCGTAGGCTGATTATCCACCCCATTCATTCATTCACTGAACAAATGAATACTTACACGGGTGCTATGGAGGGGAGGATGAGGTAACAGTGGTTTTGAGAGAAAGCACTGGAGAGAGAAAGAGGAAAAGGGCATGGATGCCACTCTCAACGTGGATCCTTACTGCTATACCTAAACCACCTAATTTTGCCTAATCCTCTCATCAGTCCTGAAGGCAGGCATTCAAGATGAAGAAATGGACACTCAGGGACAGTTATGTAATTTGAGAGGTCACAGGCCTTGTAAGAGGCAAAGCTGCTGCGGTTCAAAGCCAGGTCTAGCTTGGGAAGCTGAAAGTACATGCAAATGACAGTGCAGTGGGAACTGTGATAATTGCGCTAAAAACAGTGTTAATGGGAAAAGATAGCGGTCACTCACATATGCGCCCTGGGACCCCAGGAGGTTGTTCTGCACAATTTTGGTTGTGTACTTTTCTAACTCTTCTTGAATTTCGAAGGCAGAAGCATCAGCGTTTTCTTCCAGAAACTGAAAAACAAAGAGGAAACCCGTTACGGCAGTAAAGTAAGCATGCTTCTGAAGAGCAGCACACTTGGTCAGCTGCTTCGAGGGCAAAAGGGATGAGTTTGAGGGGAGAAGAACAAACCATGGCCACTATGTTGCATTTTCAAAAAGTTGAGGCAATATTGCTGTTCAAAAAAATTAAGCAAGAGAATATCCTCCTTTTAATAACAGTGGGTTAGATTATTCAGACCAAATCAAGACTGCCAGACAGGATAAAATACTTTAAAAATCTTAATGCTCTGAAGGGCTGACGGACAGTGAGGAGTAACCACACCAAAGTGAAGGAGAAATAGGAATCTAGCAAGGTCAAAGAGCTGCAGCCTCATCTGCACTGATGCAGGCATCATACAGTGTCCTCATGTGCTCCTGGGAAAGACACCAACACAGTCATCCACCATGCTTCCTGGAGTGCTGTGACATGGCAGCACTGGCCTTGGGCACATTTTCCAATCAGCAATTTTGAACTTTTCATTTCAAAGCCTTCAAATGGTATAGAAGACAGAAATAAAAGCCTAAAGCTAGTGCAAGGATAGTAATCTAACAGAATACCATCAATCTCCCCTCCCCCGACCAAACACAACAAGCTGGGAACCCACTCTGCTCAGGTGGAGTCCCAGTGCTGGGACGCTTTCCTCGCCATGCTGGGGCTCAGACACCCCACACTGGGCCATACCTCTGTGTGGAATCCCGCCTTTCTCTGCCCACCTAATGTCTTTAGGACAGAAGTATTCAGGAAAGGAGATGGGAAGGAGAAAGGGGAAAGCCTTCTCTGTATAACAAGAAACAAGACGAGGACATCCGTTATCACTTCAACACATAGATCCTAGCCACCAAAATAGGGTAAGCAAAAGAAACAAAAGGTATAAGGATTGGGAAGGCACAAAATTTCCATTATTTGCAGATGAAATGACTGTGTTGAAAATCTAAAAGTATCTATGGATAAAGTATTAGATTGATGAGACAATTTGCCAGATACTTCATACAAAAAAATATTTTGATATACCAACAAAGACAAAACAAAATTTTAAATAAGGTACTTATAATAGTACCAGAAAACCTAAAATACTAAATACAAAAAGAAAAATGCTAGATACCCATATTGGTTAGCTGCCAAAAAAAAAAAAGAAAAAAGAAAAGAGGGCTGGCCCGTGGCTCACTCGGGAGAGTGTGGTGCTGAAAACACCAAGGCTACGGGTTCAGATTCCTATATAGGGATGGCCGGTTAGCTCACTTGGGAGAGCTTGGTGCTGACAACACCAAGTCAAGGGTTAAGATCCCCTTACCCGTCATCTTTTTATTTTTTTTTTCCATTTTGTCTTTTTTACTGACTGGTACAGGATTGCAACCCTCGGTGTCGTGCCTGTACCGGGGACCGGCAACGGGATCGCAACCCTCGGTGCCGTGCCCACCCCTCGCTCAGCCAGTGAGCGGTGCGCCACTGGGTGGGCCCTTACCCGTCATCTTTTAAAAAAAAGAAAAATGTTATCTTTATAATAAAGAGATCTGGTGATCACCACCTTATCCAAAAGTAACTAAACTTGGGCCGGCCCGGTGGCGCACTGGAGAGTGCGCTGCTTGGGAGCGCGGTGGCGCTCCCAAAGAGGGTTCAGATCCCATGTGGTGACCGGTTCCCGCTCACTGGCTGAGCACGGTGCGGGCGCAACACCGAGGGTTGTGATCCCGTTGCTGGTCCCCGGTACAGGCATGACACCGAGGGTTGCGATCCCGTTGCTGGTCCCCGGTACAGGCATGACACCGAGGGTTGCGATCCCGTACCGGTCAGTAAAAAAGACAAAAAGGAAAAAAAAGAAATTAAAAAAAAAATCAAAAGTAACTAAACTTAGCATTACCAATACCGGAACAACCTGACATCGTGTGCCTCCTAAAATGATGCAATGTGAAGTATCTTTTATCATGTAGGTTGTATTCTTGCCAAAATGTGAATCAAATGAGGAAATATTCTGACAATCAAGAATGTGAAAAATCCTATTAGATAACTGGCCCTGAGTTTTCAAAAAAAGTCAATATCACGAAAAATGTTTTCTACACTAAAATGTTCTACATTAAAATAGACCAAAGAGATTTAACAACCAAAAGCAATGCATAACCCTGACTAGATCCTAAATCCCAGGAAAAAATGCTCACTAACAGTTAAATGGTATTTCATGTCGTTTTCATGAACATTTCTTCAATTACTCTTAGAGCTTCATGCTTCTTCATCTAGCTATTTATTCAGTTATAAGATATAAAGATCAAACATTCTGGTGACTACTAGGATGCCAATTAGGGACAACACAGACACATCTCTTGTTCCCCATCACGGTGGCTTTCCTGACTTCCATGACCGCCACTATCCACATACCCTGTTCAGAATTCGCTCGAGCTCGTATGTTGCTTGTAGGGCCCCAACTTCCAGAACCCTCAGCTGGCAGACCAAGAGGTGAATCACAGCCCGGGGACAGGTCAGCAAGTGGCAGTTTAAACAAGAGCCCCGGAGCAGCAGGTAGAGTTTCTGAAGAGAGAACAAAAAGAAATAGCATTTAGAAAGAGACATAGTAGTCACAGTGATTTTCAGTGTAGTCACGAGTTGTGTCTTCACGCAGTCTACTCCTTTAAGAATTCCACTTCAGCCCATATGCTTAGAAAGGCCTTTTTGACCCGAAGAACTAGATAAATAGTCCTCAATATTTTCTTTTATGCTTTCATTTTAATCCATTAAAATTTGAAATTTACTTTGGGTATATAGTCTGAGGTAGGGAACTACCTTTATCTTATTCCAAGTATTCTAAGACAATTCTTTCTTTAATACGATTAACAGACAAAAATCACGTCCATGCATACCATCATCTACGTACCTTAAAAAAAAAATCCTAGAGGCTACGTTAGTGATATAAACAGTTGAACATGTACAAGTAGAACTCTAGACAGTAGCTTCACTCTAATCTTACTGTTGGGCTTTCTGGGGTTTTGCTTCTCCTGCTACCAGGCAAAAGCCGAACGGCTCAGCGAGGCTTTGGGAACACTGAAGTTCCCTCTTGTACCAGGGAGGTGCCACCTAGATGTCTGAAGGGCACAAAGCCCCTGAAACAAAAGGTACAGGGGATGAATTGAAACTCTCCCCACAACATGAACAGAATCAAGCTGCAGATTTTCTCAACTTGAATTAAACTGAAATTCGTTTAGTTAAGGCTACAGCATAAGTTGAAGTTATTGTCTTTGGTTCTTCAAGGTTTTAAATCTGATTCTAAAGAATGCTTTAATGCAAAGTGTCAGGAGCTCAACCTCCTCAGGCACCTCTTGTAGGGAGGGAGTCAGCACTCACAAATCCCACCAGCAGCCCCAAAGGCCCACACATCCAGGGCAGCACATACGTCGAAGAGGAGAGGGTTGTACACCGTGAGCGGGAGCTCAATGTGGCCCAGGTGCCCGGAGCAGTTGTTGAAGTCCTGCACGCAGGTGGAGCACACCTCTTTGGAATCGGCAGGGCCCAAAGCTAAATCATACAGGCCATTCGCTGACGGGTTCCCTAGGCTGTCCAGGTACCGAGGGTTTGTAATGGATTTAACACTTAATTTCCTAAGAAGATATAAAAAGACCAAAGAAAAACTATGGTTACCAACCTCTGTGTTTCCTTTTTGGCATTTACAAAACTGTAGTCAAGTGAGTATAGGTTGAGGCTACTGCAGGGCCCTGCCAGGGTCCCAAGGCAGGAGCCGGGGAAAGCCAAACCCTCCTGGCAACCAGGTAAAGAGCATACCAAAAACACCATTTCCATGTGGGTAGCCCTCCACAGCCACCGCAATTGCCACGGCTGGTGCAAAAGCAGGTAGTCGCCATAGAAGTAGTCCCAGTCACCATGCGGGTGGCCCACCAGACACTCAAATTCATCGACATAAGGAGAGTCACCAGCAGAGAACAAAACAAAAAGAAGAGGATGTGTCCCTCCACAAAGCACACGCCAGAGAGCATCTGCTCTGCGATAACAGTGGGGCACCTGAACATGCCTCTCTCAGCACTGGACGGATTGACTAGGCAACAAATCAACAGAGAAACAGTTAATCTATCAGAAGGAGAGAGCAAATCTATGGTTATTAGAGGGAAGGGGACTGGAGAGAGATTGGATAAGGGGCATAAAGAATAAGCATGATTTATAATAATGAATATGCTAATAAAAAAATTTTTTTTAAGATTTCACTGACATAAATCCACCTGAATAACCATCACTCAGACTAAGATGTGGTGTTTCCATACCCTAGATAGCTTCCTCATGCCTCTTCTCAGGCAATACTTAACAAAGTTAGCTTTTCTTATTTTATAAACTTATTAACATAAATTAGTTTTGCCTATTCTTTGCTTTCATATAAAGGAAATTTTTTTAAAAAGTGAGAACAGGTTGAGTATTCCTTACACAAAATGCTTGAGACCATAAATGTTTCAAATTTTGGAATATTTGCAGAACACACATCAATGAGCATCAGCATCCCTAACCCAAAAATCTGAAATCCAAAATGTTCCAGGGAGCATTTCCTTTGAGTGTCATGTTGGCACTCAAAAAGTTTTGGATTTTGAAGCATTTCAGATTTCAGAGTAGGGATGCTCAATCTGTACTTAATGTGTTTCCTCAGACACAGTGACAGCTCCAGAGGGCAGGATCTCTGTCTACTTTGCTCACCACTGCATCCCAACCCTTAGCGCAGAGCCAGCACACAATGGTAATGCCATAAACATATACCAAATGAGTAAGTGGCAACATCTTTAAAAAACAGATGTAGAGCAAAACTTGCCCTGAGTACACTGGAAGACTGTTTACAAAAAGGACTTAAGCACCTACTACACACTGAGTGCTTTATAAGTAGCATGACAGATCGAGCATCCCTTATCCAAAATGCTTGGGACCAGAAGTGTTCCAGATTTCAGACTTTTTTGGATTTTGGAACATTTGTATATACTTACTGTTTGAGCAATCCCTAATTTGAAAATCCAAAATCCAAAATGTTCCCATGAGCATTTCCTTTGAGCGTGACTTTTGAGTGTCATGGCAGTGCTCAAAAAGTTTCAAATCTGGGGGCATTTCAGACTTCGGATTAAGGTTGCTCAACCTGTATTTAGTCTTGGTCTTGGTCTTAACCCTGTAAGATGGGTATCACTACATGCATTTTTCAGAGGAGGGAACTGAGGCTCAGAATAGTTAGGTGATTTAATGCAGGTGATGGATTCAGAACACAGGGGAGGTGGGATATTGACCAGACGTAACTCCAGAGCCTCACAGTCCAATGAAGGGGACTGACACAAAAGTCCCTGTACAGAAGCAATAGTAAATTCAAGAAAATAAACACAAATTTTCAAACCTCTGAGAAATATAACCTGTTTTACAAAAGGTTTCATCACATTTTATGTTTGATTTAAAGGGGACTCCCACAGGACACTTAACTACTCTCGGAAAGCCAACTTTGCTTTTTAAACTTTTTTTGTTTTAGAAAATAGATAAGGACGGGGCCGGCCCGGTGGCGCACTGGATAGTGCGCCGCTTGGGAAGCGCGGCGGCGCTCCCACCCAAGGGTTCGGATCCCACATACAGACCGGTTCCCGCTCACTGGCTGAGCGAGGCGCGGGAGCAGCGTCGAGGGTTGCAATCCCGTTGCCGGTCCCCGGCCCGGTACGGGGGCAACACTGAGGGTTGCAATCCGTTGCCGGACACGGAAAAAACCCGCTCACTGGCTGAGCGAGGCGCGGGAGCAGCGTCGAGGGTTGCAATCCCGTTGCCGGTCCCCGGTCCGGTACGGGGGCAACACTGAGGGTTGCGATCCGTTGCCAGACACGGAAAAAGACAAAAAGACAAAAAAAAAAAAAAGAAAATAGATAAGGACAAAGAAACCATCCCAATCTCAAACCCTAGAAGAAACCTGAGGGTGGGGCCTTGCTGGGGAGGACAGCCCCCTACTGATGTAAACATTCCCTTTAATTAAGCACAATAATAGTGTTAAGTTCTTCATAAATGGTGATTTATGAATTGAGTGTAAAATGATGGTGGTCCTTCAAGAGCTATGCTGTTCAGATCTGGAAGATCCTATGCTGCATGGCCAGTGTCACTCTGAAGGCCAAGGTTAAACGGAGACAGGTCTATAGCTGTGGCTCTTGTCCATATGTGAACACCTTGCTGCCAATAAACTAATTTCATGAGAAACTTAATCTAATCTGATGCTGTATTTGTGGTCTCTTCCCACAAACCTGGAGTACACCTGCAACTTTGAATTGGGTAACACTGAACAAACTACTTAGGTTTTTGTTTTTAATCTTAGTTTTTGAAATTGTGATAAAATATACGTAACAAAAAATTTACCATCTTAGCCATTTTTAAGAGTATAGTTCAGTGGTATTAAGTACATTCACATTGTGCTGCCATCATCGCCATCCACCTCCAGAACTCTTCATCTTGCAAAACTGAAACACTACCCATTATACAGTAACTCCCCATTCCCCTCTACTGCCTACCTCCTGGCAAACACCCTTTTACTTTATTTCGATTAATCTGAATACGTGCCTTATTTAAGTGGAATCATATAGTACCTGTCCTTTTGTGACTGGCTTATTTCACTGAGCATAATGTCCTTAAATCTCACCCACATTAAAAGATGTGTCAGAATTCCCTTCTTTTTCAGGGCTGAATAATATTCCATCACATGTATATACCACATCTTGTTTATCGACTCTTGGTGGTAGACACTTGAGTGGCTTTCACTTTCTGGCTACTATGAATAATGCTGCTATGAGCATAGGTGTACAAATATCTCTTTGAAACCCTATTTTCAATTCTTTGGGCATAAACCCCAGAATCAAAACGGCTAGATCAGCATACAAGGGTTCCACTTTCTCCACATACTCATCAACACTTGTTATTTTCTGGTGGGTTTTTTTTTAATAGCAACTGTCCTAAGGGGTTTGAGGTGGTATCTCAGTGTGGTTTTAATTTACATTTTCCTAAAATTAGTGATGCTGAGCATCTTTTCATGTGCTTCTTGGCTATTTGTATATCTTTCTTGAAGAAATGTCTATTCAAGTCCTTTGCCCATTTTTAAATCAGGGTTTTTTTGTTGTTAAGTTGTAGGAGTTCTTTATATATTCTGGATATTAATCTCTTATCAGATATGATTTACAAATATTATCTCCTAGTCTATGGGTTGCCTTTTCATTCCATTGTGACCTTTGATAACTACTTAACTTTTTTCTCACTTACAATTCGAATACTTGCAGCAGCTCTATTAGGATGATCAGAAGAAAATGTACATAAATATAGCACCTGAAACAAAGTTCCTCTCTCTTTGCTGGAGTAGAGGAGAAAGTCCCTCTCACCATTACAGGAGTGGGACAGAGGCGGGGGAAACCAGTAAGGATTCCCTTGGAGAGTACAGAGTTGGAGACCAACAGACTGGATTTGATGATGACCTTTGACACTTCCTAGAGAGACATTTTATTCTCTGGGCCTAAATTTCCTTTCCTGTGACTAGAGACACCACCATAGATGGTTGCATCAAGGACTGAAAGCACCAAGTGCTGAAGATAGCTTACCCATTCATCTATTCACACACTCATTAAATATCTATTGAGTGCTTACTATGTGCCAGATATAGTTTTAGGTGCTGAGGAAACAGACAAGAATCCCTATGCTTATGAGCCTCCCTTTACAGGGAGTGCAAAGGTCCTGAGGTGGGTGTGTGCCTGTGGTAAACTGGGAACTGCAAGAAGGCCAGGGTAGCTGGAATAGAGGTGAGGTCAGATAGGTAGCAAGGGCCAGAATGACCCTTCCAGGCCCTTTTAAAGACTTGGTTTTACTCCAAGAGAGATGGGAAGCCACTAGAGCCTCACACAATAAAAGATAGCATAATTACTGAAATTGCTCAACTCTAGACTCAAATAGGTGTACAATATTACAGATGGGTATAAATTTGCTTATGTTGTTCCCTATTTGAAAACTGCAGTTATCTTGCTAAAAATGTATGCAACCTAAAACATTTTTGCTTTTGGACAAAACTGTATCTACCTATGGCTTGTGATGATATAATTGAAATTTCTGGGCTAGCACACTGTTACCAATGATACCACAGCTGTAGCTCAGGAGCTTATTAGTCCATTTATTCAAGCAGGATTGAGGATAAAGAAAGGAATGAGATATACAGGATGCTTAATGCTAATGGTGGGAGACAAATATAAACAAGCACAAAAAAGCAACTAAGGCACCATAACAGACAACTGTACTAGGTGTATAAGGACCTCAGAGGGATATTGAATTGAGCCTCCAGGTGTGTGTGTTGGGCAGGGGACAGAAGGAGGACCGTCTGGCACAAAAGGACACTGCACAAAGAGGAAATAGCTTGAAGAAAGGCCCAGATGTTGAAACATGACAGCAGTTTCTGACATGTGCAAGTGGTTTGGTAGGGTTAGATGATGATGTTATAGCTACAACCAGCATTGGCCTTGTCATGGGAGACTTTGTAGGCACTGCTAAGAAAGTATCATTTACCTGAGAGAATATAGAGGGTTTAAAGGGTGACAGTATCACATTTAAACTTTAGAAGAATAATTTTGACAGCGGTATGGAGGATGGACTGGACAGATGTAAGGGAGAAAGGTAGAAGGAAAAGACAATTAAAACATCAGATAAAGGCTTAATCTAAGGCAGTGGCAATAGGGATGAGAAAAAGAGTACAGGACAAATAGATATGTAGGTGACACACAGTAAGAGCCAAATAAATAAAAGAGATATCGGGCCGGCCACGTGGCGCACTCGCGGGTTCGGATCCTATATAGGGATGGCCAGTGCAAGGGTTGCGATCCCCTTACCGTTTACAAAAAGGACAAAAAAAAAAATAATAATAACAATAATAAATAGATAAATAAATAAATAAGATATCAGGAGAGAGAGGTCTAGAATTATTTCCTGGTTTCTAGTGACCATTTTGCACTAGACTAAGTACACCATTTTGGAGGGGCAAGTTTCCTCTCCCTATGGGGGATGGTGGTGTGCATGTTGAGTTTTTGATGTATAAGTTTAAAATTTCTGTGTGAAATTCAAGTAAAGATGTCCAGAAAACAGCTGAATAAGAGTGTGAAAATCAGGAAAAGAAATTTGGGGTGGAGATTTAAATTTGAGCGTATCAGACATGAAAGTGGGGAGATTGTCCAGGGACAACATTTAGGACAAGAAAATAAACATGATCATAATAGAACTTAGAGATGCACCAACATTTAAGGACTAAAAGGGAACGGACCTTGTTCACCAAGGTGTCATTCACGCCTAGCTTAGTTCCTGGCAAATAGTGAATGCTCAATAAATATTTGTGCGTTGATAGATTGATAGAAGAAGGTAGAAAGGAAAAAGTATTCGTCACAGAAATAGAATAACCTGAAAAAATAAGGTCCTGGAAGAGAGGGAAGTTTCAAGAGGATGTAGCCAAGATTGTCAAGTGCTATCGTGATCAAAATGAGGACTAATGAGATTTAGTAACTAAGCGGAGAATATAGCGGGGTCCTGGCAAACAGAACTTATCGCCTAAACTGAGACTTCAAGGATAATCATTTTACAAAACAGAGAAAACTAATTACGTGCTTAATTAACCACGTCAGGGACATTACAGTAATCCCACAAACGTCTGTTAATTAATGAGGAGACGGGCAGGTGATAATGCTACAATCTAGGACACCCTCCCCCACCGGCCCAACGCAAACTCTTTCCCACAGCCCCACCGGGTTCTAGAAGTGCACGCCGGACCAGGGACGTTCCTAGAACTACGGATCCCAGCAGGACACGCGCTTGACAACCATGAACTTAGACGACAGACTGGACGCAAGACCTTCTGGGAACATTAGTTTATGGCGCCGACCTCAAGAACCAGGCTCGGCATGCTTCCCACCAACTCCTTACTTGAGCTCTTCAGCTGAATACATCCCGAAGGAAATGCCCTGCAGCCGCCGCCAGGGCATGTTCTTGGAGCCCAACATCCTCCAGATCAATTTTCAGTTCCAATACCCAGAGAGATGTTCCAGTCTCCACGGCTGACTTAACTCAGCCTCAGGCCAGCAGCCACCATGTGATTCATACTGCGCGTGCGCGCAGGAAACGGAAGTAGGCATACTCATGTGGGAGAGATCACTTCTGCTATGGGGGGAGAGGAAAATAGTTTCACAACTCTCACTCACCGTTTTACTTTGAAAACAATCAAAGGTATATAAGACATAAAAAGAATGGTCTAAGAAAACTTCTTAGAGGAAAATGAGGTGTACTGAGCCTTTAGCTTCCCTGACGAAATCTTTCCAACCATGAGCATTCAACCTCCCATTTCATGGCTGCTTTCATCATTTTCCTCTTCAGCCAATAGCTAGACTGTTCCCCGCCCACCTTGCCCCGCCTCCCTCGGTGACTCTGAAGGTCGTGGGCATGCTTTCCCAGCATGCTCTGCGAAGAAGTCAAAGATGGCGGGGGCAATGTCCCTTTGCTGGTTGAGAGTCCGCAGCGGGCTTTGCCTGCCTCTGACGGTTCGGCGGGCAAGTTCGTGTGAACGGGCACCCAGTTGCAGGTAAGAGAAGTTTTGGAGATCCACGGGAAAGACCATGGAATCAACTTAGTGCTGTGTTTTCCAGGGAATCGTGGAACTAGGGACAATGGAGTGGGTTGCGCATGCGCGCTGTACCGGCCGCTTGCGCCGAATCCCCGGCACGAGAAGCCACTGCCTCGAAACGCATTTATTCATTAGGGACCTATTTATTGGTTGTTTGCAATACTTTAGAGTTAAAATTGACCAGAAAACTAGGATCCTGCTTTTGTGAAGTTTGTATTTCTGTGAATGTGGCTATTAGCAACGCCACCTAAATTTAAAAAATAAAGTATCCACCCTTACTTTAACCCTATCGGGAGAAACGGAAGAACGCATAAGATTTCCCAAATAAAGGCAGTGTGTAATCACTCCATTTTTTTCTTTTTTTTTTAAAGATGACTGGTAAGGGTATCTTAACCCTTGACTTGGTGTTGTCAGCACCACGCTCTCCAAAGTGAGCGAACCAGCTATCCCTATATAGGATCCGAACCCGTGGCCTTGGTGTTATCAGCACCGCACTCTCCCAAGTGAGCCACGGGCTGGCCCTGTATGATCACTTCTTTGTGCAGGACTTTGTGTGGACTTTTGGCCAAAGAAATTATCAAGTTTTCATAAAAGTCTAAGAGAACCACGCTCTTTGGATCTGTGATGGGTACTGTTTGGAAGATGTTTCACCTAGTTTTGTAATTTTTTTCACCCGGTACAAACAGTGGCATTGTAGAAATAAGAGGGTCAAGGGTCAATAAGGTGCAGTGAAAACTTGGGGAAAAATGAATTTTAGAGTCAGTGTTCGCCCTTTCTTTAGAAGGATGGTAGTAGACACATTTTCTCATCTGTAGACTGGAGTACTGATAACCATCTGAAGAAATCATGAGCAGTAAGTGAGGTGTATCTTACAGTATATTTTTTACATGTACTTCCCCTCATTTTTCCTCAAGAAAACAGAAAACCCTTCACCTGGTATTACAGAAGCTTTTATGCTGCCATTCAGTCCCATCCTTTTACCTTTTGGTGCCCAATATTGACATTTTTCTACCCATTTTCTTTGCCTAACAGCAGTATCTCTCCCTCAGCCTTCATCCTCAAGACAACGGTGATCTGTCCTAATGTCATGAGAAACAAATAACATGATTTGAGTTAATCTCTTTCTGAAACTTATTTAGCAGAGACAGATATTCTTGTCTTAAATGATGCTTGAGACTAGATACCAGTGGAGGAAGTATTTTTTTATGTAGTCACATCTTGAGTTTTCTTAATGATAATGATGCATGTAGGAAGCGAGTACATAAGATAGTATTAATCGTGCACATTAACTGCGTGGTGTGTTGACCATATTTTTAGTGTGATCAGGACATTTTAAAACTTAGTCATGGACCGGTGATTCTATATTTTGTGTAAAAAAGTAGTAAGTGAGGTGTAGGCCTTTACTGTCAGGGCACTATCCATATAAAAGCAGGAGCTCACTAAATTGTTTCTTTTAACCTCAAAGTGTTTTAGGTCCCCAAAGTTGAAAGTCCCTTGTGTTTCAAACCCTCTGCTCAGATTGTTCAAGAGATATTTCCTCTGATTTTATGTAATGAGATTGCCTGCTTCAAAAAATTTTGACCATCTTGTGCCCATATCTTGTATCCATTCTTTAAACGTTTTGAACATGCTGCTCAGGCTATGTCCTCTCAGTGTGCATTGACATGATTTATCCAGTCAGTTGATCTATGGTAATAGGAAAATTTGGGCTCAAAATGCCATAGGTGGAGGTGAGCTGGGAACTTCATTAATGAGTATTAGCTTTAGGTTTTTTGTTTGTTTGTTTGTTTTTACAGATTTTATTCTGGAAGTACAACCCTTCCAAAGGTCAACGGAACTGATAAAACAGGTATATATTTTTTTAAAAAAACTATTGTTTTTAAACCAACACATTGTATTCCTTTGTAGTTGTAATATCTGGAAACTGATTTGTTTTATTTTTCACATTAAGGGATTGAAGAAATAGTCATTCCAAGAAAGAAAACTTGGTGAGTATTCTTATCAGTGTTCATTCAGCAAGTGGTTGAGTGCTTATTCTGAGCGAAACATAGGAGTTAGGTAAGGAGTCAGTAACCTGAAGAGCAGTGGGAGAGCATTCTCCAATAGGGAACATCTGAGGGAAGGAAATTGAGGAGTTTAAAGGACAGAAAGGAAGAAAGTGGAGAGTAGCGAGTGAACCCAGGAATGAGATTTGGAAGAAGAGTTAAAAGATCTGGACTGCTTGTGGGTTAATATTTATATAACAGTGGCTAATCATGAGCATCATCATTAGAATAATTTCTTTTTTTTATGGACTTTCTCTCACATGGTTGGGAGATCAGACAAAATTATTATTTTTATGGTCTCTAATGAGGTAAAATAAAAGAAATGATGTAGACTTCAATAATTTAGCTTTTCTTTTCATTGGATAAATCATTGAACAGATTGCCTTATCTCATTTATTCAACATTTGTTGAATATGTAAGAACTAAAACTTCACAGTCTTTGCCATGCCACCCTGAACGTGACCAATCTCATCTGATCTTGTAAGCTAAGCAGGGTCAGTGCTGATTAGTTCTTGCCTGGGAGACCGCCTAGGAATACTGCGTTCTACAAAAAATAAAACTCCACAAAAGTAGTTGTTATAACATGGTATTACTGAATCCGTTTAAAGGTCCCTCAAGAACCCAAGTCTTATAATTCTGAGTATGACTAAAGACTCAGGTTCATTTAAGAACATTAAAAAAGGCTTTCTTAAATTATGAAAGTAATTAATGATTTTTGCCAAAAAGGGGGTGGATAAATCTAACATGTAAAAAGGAAACAAAATTACTGAATCACACTACTTAGAGGCAAGTTGCCTAATCTGTCTGTGTCATTGTAAAATGTGGATAATGATGGTATCTACCTCAAAGGATTAAATGAGCATTTGAACAGTGCCTTTCATATAGTCAGATTTTATAGATGATAGCAGTTATTTTAAAGTTTGGGGGTATAGCCTAAATTATTTTTTATGTAAACCATATATATATACGTTTAGTTTGGAATTGAATTGTTAGATGTACTCTTTATACTCTCCTATTAATTTTTAATGGCTACATAGTATTTCGTTATATAGATAAATTCAGGTTCATTTTTTTCTTTCTTGGTCTAAGAATGAGAACCATGATGAGAGTAAAAATGTAGGTATACATGAGTCAGGCATTTCCGTGATGGCATTCAGATCCAAAGTACTTACCAACTCATTGTACCTCCTCTTCTGAAGAAGGTACTACAGGGAATACAAAAGAGGCAGCATTTGGAGAGAGCGCTGTGATCTAGTTAGTCACATGCATATTTTATACCTTGTATTTGTACATAACTTTGTACACATGGCTAGAGGGCACACACAATATGATATAATGAAGAGTGGTTGTATTACACTAATCAAGGTGGTTTTTTGTTGAAAATGTAGAAATTTAGCAGTACCTTAAAATGGGAGAATTTCATTTAAAATGGATTTTCCCTTAGGTAGTTCTTGTGAACTCTAGATTATGAGACCTATAGATACAGAGAAAATAAGGCAGAATGGGGCATGATCATGGTACATCTAGTGGTTAGGAGTCCAGGCATGCCTGTGGAAAATACACCGTTAGAAGAGGGGAAATAAAGTAGTTGATACAGAGCACTGGTCAGCAAATAAGGTAGTTGCTACAGAGCATTGGTCAGCAAACCAAGGCCTATTTTTGTATGGCCCATGAGCTAAGAATGGTTTTAGAATTTTTACATAGTTCAGAAAAACCAAAAGAAGACAAGATGACACATGAAAATGATATGAAATTCAAATTTGTGTCAATTAAATTTTTTAGGGCGCACCCTTGCTAATTTGTTTACATATTGTCTGGCTGTTTTTATACTACACTGGCCGAGCTGAGTAGCTTGTGCAGAACCCTGAGACCCATAAAATCTAAAATATTTACTGTCTGTCCTTTCACAGAAAAAGCATTTCCAGGCTCAGGAATCTATGCTTTTAGAACTAGAAAAAGCCATAAGTACTACTGTTGTAAAGTTCCTGTTGCCTTATTTTAGAGATGAAGCATCTTTTAAGGCTGTAATTTCCCAGGTCAGACAGGTGCCATGGAAGACTTCAATAAATTTTAAGGAGTTATTGTGAGTTTTCATATGTGAATATGACATGAATAAATAAAGGTAGTGTTTTGAACAAGTTAATCTGAATCAAGTGTTATGTTAGGGAGGGCAGGGAGCCCAGTTATGATCAATGCATAGGTAACTGGGCTCATAAGAAAATACAAATTAAAACTCACCAGATTGGCAAGGGGAGAATATGGAGAAAGATGTGCTCCAATACATTTGTTGATGGGGCGGTAAAATTGTAACAACTCTTTGGAGGGAAACTTGGCAGAATCACAGTTTTAAATGTGCATACCTTACCACTTAGCCTTGGAGGAATGCTTGCATATGTACCCAAAGAGACATGGACGAGAATGTCTTCTAACTTGGGAATAGTAACAAGTTGTAACCACCTAACTGCCCATCAATAAGTGAATAGATAATAAAAATTGGTTATACAATATAACATTTATAGAATTTATATGTGTAATAATATGGATAGTAAAATCAAGCTTGCGTAAACACATGCAAAATGACAGTATATATTTCTTATGGAGGTGTGTGTGTGAAAATACCTTAAAAAGCTCTGGAAATACTATCTATACCCAGCTTATGGTAGGGTGGGGTTACAGAATGACACCAGACACTTTAGCTTTACCTATAACGTTCTAGTTTATTTTTTAAAGATAATATAGTCATTGCAATTCTTTTTTAAAATAACCCTTTTTAAAAAGAGAGCTGGCGAGTAATCCCAATGTCATAATTTCTTCACTGGCATTTGTTTAACAGTTAGGAAGATGTGCTAACTTGGTAAAGACTTAAACATGCTAATGTACAATTTAGTTAGGGAATGCTGAGAGATAAGAGAATGTGTCTGTCATTCTTGCTGAAATAACGCAAATGTGACTTTAAAAACTGGATAGAGAATCCAATGGATGTATGTATACACCAGGGAATTCTCCGTTTTGATGTAATCTAAAATGTCCTGTGTCTTTTGTCTTTCTCAGATGACTTACATTGTTATGAATGTTATGTTAAACTTTAGAGAAATACTTTTGGTTGATTAAATTCACTATAATTCCCTTTTGGAAATGCAACACATTAAATCTAACGTGGGAGCAAAAATAACATTTGAAACTGAATTATCTCATTTGTCATTTATTCCAGTGAAACCTTTTCCAGTAGTTTAGTGAAGGTCTTTACCCAAAGGCACAGTGGACAGCTGGTCTGCAATTCATATCATAAAGTTATATATGGTTGAGAGGTTCTAAACCAGGAGGATGCATCAGAACCATCTTGGAATCCAGTGAAGATGCATGTGACAGTCTTCTGTGGATCTTGGAGGTTCTGATGCAGTAGGTCCAGAGTGGAGCCTATGATTTATTCTCATAAATAGCTGAATTAAGAGCCACCAGTTTAGATAGTAAGGGCAAGAGTAGTCCAGAAAGCTGCAATAAAAATGCATAGAAAAGTGCATAGGAGGAAGTAATAAGCAAGGTAATTTTATGAGGTAAGGTTGGAAATCACTAGCCTTGGGTGATGGTATTAGGGACTAGGTTGGAGGAGGCGAGCGAAGCAAAGAGAGAAATATGTATTAAGCAACTTCAGGCAAAAGAACTAGGCAGTTTTCTTATTTTTAAGCTTGTTATTCTCTAGTGATCTTGAAAGATAAGAATCGGCTCTAGGTAAGACCTGAACTTCAGTATCGGCCAGAGCACTGTGAGAGTAGAATTGCTTGTTCACTTTATGAAGAGCCCTGATGAAGGTTAACTTGTGACTCTTATTCTAGGGATAAAGTAGCCGTTCTTCAAGCACTTGCTTCCACAGTAAACAGGGTAAGTAGGATTTTTAGGTTTTTAACTTGGTTAATAAGACATTTAATGTTCATACCTCTTCATTATTCAGAATTAAACTGTTGTGTACCAGGAAAGTTTTTTTTAAGTTATCTAATCCAATCCCTTCATTTGACAAATGAGGAAACTACATCACTGGACCAAAACTGTTTGGAATGCTAAAACCTTAACTTAGTTCCATGTCTTTTGTCTCCAGATGCATTGTTTTTATACCATACCAGTGATCTATAGTGACAGAAGAGCTTCTTGAAATGCATATTCCTGGGGAATGGTTTGGGAGTGGTAACTATAGCAGGTGATCTATATACCAACTTTGAGAAATAATGTACCTGCCATGCAATAATGCAGAGATTAAGAATGTGTGAGGGCCGGCCCGGTGGTGCACTGCTACAATGCGCCGCTTGGGAGCGCGGCGGCGCTCCCGCCGAGGGTTCGGATCCCACATACAGACCGGCCGCTCACTGGCTGAGAGAGGTGCGGGTGTGACACCGAGGGTTGCGATTCTGTTGCCGGTCCCAGTCCGGTACGGGCGCGACACTGAGGGTTGTGATCTGTTGCCGGTCACGAAAAAAGACAAAAAGGAAAAAAAAAAAAAGAATGTGGGTTCATTATCTATGATCATCTTTACTAAAATAAATCAAAAAAGAATGTGTGTTCTGGAGCCCAGTGTTTTGTTTAATAGCCAAGCCACTAGTTTTGTGAACTTAGGAAGTTACTTTATCTCTTGACGCTCCTGTTTCCTGATCTATAAAATGGGGATTAATTATATCACCAAACCTCAAGGTTGTGGTGAGAATTAAATGAGTTAAGTATACATTAAAGAGTATAGGACAGTGTCTGGCACAAAGGAAATGCTCAGTACATGAGAGTTATTTTATTATTGCTGCTACTATCTTGTTGGTTTCATTTGTCAATAATTTGTTCTGTTGACAACTCAAGTATAGAGTTTGTAGTGTGGTGGATAGTCTGAAACTTTGGCAAATTGATCAGAAATGGAACTTCCTTATTTTTTCCTGTGTATTTTTCATTAGCTGGAAACTACTAACAACTTCAACTATGGGGCGAAAGTCTAAAATAATTAAATCATTTCTCTTGCCACAATATCTGTGTGGATACTGACTTTCCTTGAGTTGGTTACCACAAATACACAGAAACGTTCTTCTGTTGTAGATGTTAAACTTGTGGGGTGTAGGGCCAAATGTGCAGTGATACACTCTACCAATTTCTGAGAAAGGTTTTTAAGTATTATACCTCTCCACTTGAAAATCATTGAGATTTTCAGCAGCTCACTTATCCATAGTCACCTGAAATGTAAACCACAGAAATGGGCCTCTGAGATTGTTCTCAGTATTTCAATAAGAATGGCCCAGCACCTCCTTCAAGTCAGAGAAGTTGTAGAAATATGGGTGTTGGCCCTTAAAATCCAAGAGATAGTCATTCATTCTTTTGGCAACCATATATTGTACTGTTATGATGCTTACCACACACCGTGCTGGATATAGAATTAAGACATGGTGCAGGACCCCACCCCCATGGGCGAGTGCGTACTGACTGGAGAGGTGACTCCGCCCAGAGAGGCCCAAGACCTGTGGCAACCACACACCCCGAGGCACCAGTGCAACTGAGCAGGTAGGCATCACTGCCGCTGGACCCCTCCCGCCCCCTCAGCCTGGGCAAGTGGGCGCTGACCACAGAGGCCTGCACCTTCCACCCACAGGCACTGAGGCAGCCGTGCCAAATTGGCAGTTCCGCAGGATCCTAGCCAGACAATAGTGTCAAACCAGTGGACCATGCAGTCCCTTGCCACAATGACTAAACACCAAAGGAAAGATACCAAAAATATGAAAAATCAAGAAAGTACACCACCAAAGGGTAATAACTCTCAAGCTCTAGATCCTATAGAACAAGAAGCCCTTGAAATGTCTGACAAGGAATTTCAAGCGATAATTCTAAGGAAACTAAATGAGATACAAGAAAACTCATCTAAACAATAAGATGAAATGAGGAAAAGTATACTGGACCTGAAAGAAGAAATCTACAAGGAAATCTTTGCTGAGCTGAAGAATTCATTCAGTGAAATAAAAAACACAACAGAGAGTTTTAACCAGCAGGCTTGCAGAAGCAGAAGAGAGAACTTCTGACCTTGAAGATGGGCTGTTTGAAATAACACAGGCAGACAAAAAGAATTAAAAGTGTTGAAGAAAATCTAAGAGAGAACCTTAAGCGTTCAAATATCCAAGTCATGGATATTCCAGAAGGGGAGGAAAAATGAGATTGCATTGAAAACATATTCAACAAAATAGTGGCAGAAAACTTTCTAGGTATAGAAAAGACACAAATCTTCAGATTCAGGAAGCTCAAAGATCCCCAAGCATATTCAACCCAAAAAGGTCTTCTCCAAGACATGTTATAGTCAAATTGGCAAAACTCAAAGACAAAGAGAGAATGTTAAAAGCTGCAAGAGAGAAGCGTCAAGTCACCTATAAGGGAGCCCCAATCAGACTAACATCAGACTTTTCATCACAAACCCTAAAAGCCAGAAAGGAATGGGATGATATATTCAAAATACTAAAAGACAGAGATTGCCAGCCAAGAATACTTTACCCCGCAAGCCTATCCTTCTGAAATGAAGGGCAAATAGTATATTTCTCAGACAAACAAAAACTGTGGGAGTTCACTACCACATGACCACCCTTACAAGAAATTGTCATGGGAGTACTGTGTTTGGTACCTGAAAAATAACTACCACTGCCATAAAAGCTCAAGAAAAATCAAAACCCACTAGTAAAGTAAAAATGCTAACAATGAAGAGAAAAAAAAAAGTTTATCTACCACCCAAGAAACCAACAAATACAGAAGACAAACAGTAAATCAAAAAGAAAGGAGGAAAAGACACTTAAGACATCCAAACGAAAATAAAATGCTAGGGGTAAATCAACAATTTTCACTAACAACTCTTAATGTAAAAGGCTTAAATTACTCACTCAAAAGACACAGACTGACTGACTGCATTAAAAACGTGGACCCAACTGTATGCTGCCTTCAAGAGACTCACCTCACCTATAAAGACACACATAGACTAAGAGTGAAAGGATGGAAAAAGATACCATGGAAATAAAACTGAAAAGTGAGCTGGAGTAGCTATTCTTATATATGATAAAATAGACTTTAAACTAAAAACTGTAAAAAAAGATAAAGAGGGTCACTACATAATGATAAAAGGATTTATCCATCAAGACATATCATAAATATATATGCACCCCGTGTCGGAGCAGCCAGATTTATAAAGCAAACTCTATTAGACCTAAAGAAGGAGTAGACACTAATACCATAATAACAGGGGACTTGAACACCCCACTATCAATACTGGACAGATCATCTAGGCAAAGAATCAGCAGGGAAACACAAGATCTAAACAACACTCTAGACCAATTGGACTTGGCAGATACCTACAGAACATTCCATCCAACAACCTTAGAATATTCATTCTTCTCATCGGCACATGCATCATTCTCCAGGATAGATCATATTAGGTCACAAATCAAGTCTCAGCAAATTCAAAAAAATTGGAATTATACCATGTATTTTTTCAGATCACAATGGATTAAAATTAGAAATCAATAACAAACGAAATTCTGGAAACTATACAAACACATGGAAATTAAACAGCATTCTATTTAATGACATATGGTCCAAGAAGAAATCAAACAGGAAATCAAAAAATTTATTGAAACTAATGAAAACAATGATACTTCATACCAGAACCTGTGGGATACAGCAAAAGCAGTACCAAGGGGGAAATTTATCGCATTAAATGCATACTTCAGAAGAATGGAAAGATGGCAAGTAAACAACCTAACACTTCACCTTAAAGAACTAGAAAAACAAGAACAATCCAAACCCAAAGTTAGCAGATGGAAAGAAATAATTAAGATCAGAGCAGAACTTAATGAAATAGAAACCCAAAAAATGATACAAAAGATCAATGAATCAAAAAGTTGGTTTTTGGAAAAGATAAATAAAATTGACAAACCATTAGCACACCTAACTAGGAAAAGAAGAGAAAACCCAGGTAAGAAAAATTAGAAATGAAAAAAGTGATATTATAACTGATACCTCTGAAATACAAAAAAAGCAGTAGTGACTACTATAAAAAGTATATGCCAACAAATTTGAAAATCTGGAGAAAATGTAAATTTCTGGACACACACAGACTACCAAAACCAAGCCAAGATGATGTAGAAAATCTGAACAGGCCAATAACCATAAAAGAGATTGAAGCTGTTACCAGAAAGCTCCCAACAAAGAAAAGCCCAGGATCAGATGATTCACAGCAGAATTCTACCAAACATTCAAAGAGGAATTGACACCAGTTCTCTACAAACTGTTGCAAAAGATTGAAACAAAGGCAATTCTTCCAAACTCATTCTATGAAGCAAACATCACTGTGATACCAAAACCAGAGAAAGATACAACAAAAAAAGAAAACTACAGGCCAATATCCTTGATGAATATAGGTGCAAAAATTCTCAAAAAAATACTGGCTAACAGAATAGAGCAACACATATGCAAAATTATACCCCATGATCAAGTGGAATTCATCCCAGGGATGCAAGATTGGTTCAGTATATGCAAATCAATAACTGTGATACACCATATCAATAAAATCAAACACAAGGACCATATGATCATTTCTGTAGATGCTGAAAAAGCATTTGTCAAAATTCAACACTCATTCATGGTAAAGACTCTCTACAAGTTAGGTATAGATGGAAAGTATCTCAACATAATTAAAGCCATATGTGATAAACCTACTGCCAATATCATCCTGAATGGGGAAAAGCTGAAAGCTTTCCCCTTAAGAACAGGAACTAGACAAGGATGCCCACTCTCACCACTCCTATTCAACATAGTGTTGGAAGTACTAGCCAGAGCAATCAGAGAAGAGAAAGAAATAAAGGGCATCCAGATTGGAAAAGATG